CTAGCTGCTATCATCTTCCCAAGGAGTAGCCAGGTTTGCTCTATCGTCACAATGGGCATCAGGGACATCATTTGGGTAGAGCAGGAGGCATTTGCCCCCACCCCCATCCCTATTTGCAGGCTTTCTTTAAATTGCTACATACTGTGGCGCCTCCAGTAATAAACAACTTAATAAGCCGACCATGTTTTGGTTTTTGCCGCCCCCCCCCCTCCTGGAAAAAAAATGAAATGACGCCCCTATTGGGCATAGTCTATAGTAGCTGATTTATCTATTTTATCTTGCGGCCTCATCTAACCATTCTGCACTTCAAATAGAAACACTATTCGGTGTGAATTGACATAAGCTCCATCTCCTTGCAGCTGCTCGCTTTTGAATCCTTTGTTTGTTGTTGTTGAGGTCAGCTGTTAATTTCTTACGCTCAAGAGGGCATTGTCGGTGCTGTTTTTTCAACATGACTTTAAAAAAAAAAAAGAAAATTCATATTTGAGGGCCCACGATCAATGTATTGATCATTTTGGCTCCTGGTTTAAATTCAGATTTAGCTTTCTCTTAGATGAGTTGCCTTCCTAGGCTAGCGAGTCCCATGAGTTGCCTTCCAAGGCTAACAAGTTCCATGAGTTGCCTTCCAAGGCTAACAAGTTCCATGAGTTTTCTTCCAAAGCTAACGAGTCCCATGAGTTGCCTTCCAAAGCTAACGAGTCCCATGAGTTGCCTTCCAAAGCTAACGAGTCCCATGAGTTGCCTTCCAAGGCTAACCAGTCCCATGAGTTGCCTTCCAAGGCAAACCAGTCCCATGAGTTGCCTTCCAAGGCTAACCAGTCCCTTGAGTTGACTTCCAAGGCAAACCAGTCCCATGAGTTTCCTTCCAAGGCTAACAAGTTCCATGAGTTTCCTTCCAAGGCTAACCAGTCCCATGAGTTGCCTTCCAAGGCTAACCAGTCCCATGAGTTGCCTTCCAAGGCAAACCAGTCCCATGAGTTTCCTTCCAAGGCTAACAAGTTCCATGAGTTTCCTTCCAAGGCTAACCAGTCCCATGAGTTGCCTTCCAAGGCTAACCAATCCCATGAGTTGCCTTCCAAGGCTAACCAGTCCCATGAGTTGCCGTCCAAGGCTAACAATTTCCATGAGTTTCCTTCCAAGTCTAACAAGTTCCATGAGTTTCCTTCCAAGGTTAACGAGTTCCATGTGTTGCCTTCCAAGGTGAACGAGTCCCATGAGTTGCCTTCCAAGGCTAACCAGTCCCATGAGTTGTCTTCCAAGGCTAACCAGTCCCATGAGTTGCCTTCCAAGGCTAACAAGTTCCATGAGTTTCCTTCCAAGGCTAACAAGTTCCATGAGTTGCCTTCCAAGGTTAACGAGTTCCATGAGTTGCCTTCCAAGGTTAACGAGTCCCATGAGTTGCCTTCCAAAGCTAACGAGTCCCATGAGTTGCCTTCCAAGGCTAACCAGTCCCATGAGTTGCCTTCCAAGGCTAACCAGTCCCATGAGTTGCCATCCAAGGCTAACAAGTTCCATGAGTTTCCTTCCAAGGCTAACAAGTTCCATGAGTTTCCTTCCAAGGTTAACGAGTCCCATGAGTTGCCTTCCAAGGCTAACAAGTTCCATCCACCCGGGGTGCCTGGGATTTTGATTTGGTTGGGATTGAACTCCAGACCCCCACTATTTGGAGTGAGTCAATTTAGACCTCTCGGCCACCTATCACCCTTGTGATGCACAAATAGATGTTAAAGATTTTGCAAATCCGTTCAAGCAGCGATGTTATTATTTTTACACACTTTACATTTACCTAATTCTCAAAATATCGTATTCCTACTCGATCAATATCATTTATATTGACTGAACTTGACATTTGAACCTTGTCCTTGTTCCATACCTGCAACAGAATCTACAGGTGAAGAGAAGCCAAATTTTGACTTCTCTTGCACTTAGAAATTGTGCTAACATTCTGACCAGCCATCTGCAGTGCACAGATAGACACACATTAAATAAGTCTTATATTGTCAAAAGTCTAACAATTATTATTATTTACACTCATTTACACTTATAAATTATTTTAAATATAATGTCATAACCAGTCAATTTTTAAGATTAAAATTATAATAGAGAAAACATGATTGTTGACGTCAACCCCCCTCCCCTCCCGTTTATCAACAACTGTAAAACATATCCAACCCCCCTTCCCTCCCGTTTATCAACAACTGTCAAACATATCCAACCCCCCTCCCCTCCCGTTTATCAACAACTGTCAAACATATCCAACCCCCCTCCCCTCCCGTTTATCAACAACTGTCAAACATATCCAACCCCCCTCCCCTCCCGTTTATCAACAACTGTCAAACATATCCAACCCCCCTCCCCCCCCCCTATTTTGTTGACGTAATTAATTGTATTTCCTTTCTAGTACTGGTATTATTTTTAATGGGTCCTATTTTAGGGTAGCCTCGAAAAATCTCAGGTGACCTAAACACTGATGGGTTGGGGTGTGAAGACAGGTGTAGTTGCAAGGGAGAAGATGGTGTAGCTGTCTATCTAAAGAAGACGCAGCTAGAGTAGGGTGACCAAACGTCCCGTAAAAACTGTCACTCTGTGTGATACCTGCCGGGCTGTTTGAGTCAGAATGACAGTTGTTTTTTTTTTCGGGTGTTGAACTTTATTCTTTAATTTTGTATTATCTTCTCATGTAGACAATAATTATGCCTAAGCGTAAATGTAAGTTTATGGAGGCGTATTCCAAAGAGTGGAACTATATTAAAAAGGGACGCTATGATAGTGAAGCCGAGTGCACCGTTTTCAATCATGTTTTTAGTATTGGTAATCCCCCCCTCCCCCAAGCCGTCCTTGAAATTGTCCCGTTTTTTCAAGTTCATGATTCGGTCACTCTAAGCTAGAGACAATGTTTCAGCTGGATTTTGGTCTGTCTGTTATAGCACAAGGCATAAAGTCTATATCTGTGTAAATGTCTTTATTAAGAGGCCAAAGTCCGCTGGCTTGGAAACCAGACAATATATTTGATGGGGTCGCTGCTTTGACGAACGCCCCACCCCCAAGTTCAGCAATTTAGTCAATTAGGTTTGCCTACGTTCCTAAGCAGCCACGAATCAGCTGAACTGATCTGTTGCACAAACTATGGCACACACGATCACAAACTCACCTCTCTTTCTCTCTAGAAACAACTTTTCAAACATTTTCAAGCCTTAATTAGGGGCAAGGACTTTAGGGGCTCTTTGTACAGTAGTTAAGCCTGTCTCATCTAAATTTTAAATTTGTACACAAGACAAATTAGTGGCAGAAATGGCTGCGTCTCTGGATTTTTACAAAATATCTCAATGTTGTGTGGGTTAAGGGCGATGGTTCTTGCCAGTGAAGTTGACCCCGTTTGGCACAGTGATAATTGAGGATGCCTCTGTCGAAACCCAAAATGCCAATCTTTACCAGCACCTTTCTATTTATTTTGTTAACTCTGGCCATCTGTCACAAATGACCATGCTGGAGAAGGGAGCGATGGGCGTGGGTGCCGCACAAAGGTACCTTATAGGATGGAAGGAAACTGCTGTTAATGGGGTTAAGTTAAGGTTAATAGACTCTCACATCTTGATATAGTGGGAGATTGTTTCTTTAGATAATAGTATGTTCGGGTTTTCCAGACTTCGCATGATAATTTTTGGGTTAACAATGGGAAGGTCTAATTGACCGGAAATTAGGGGGCATGGGTGTGTTTATAGATAGCATTCCTGGACCACCTATGGGGGGTAGAGAACCACATATAAGAGGGAGCTTTCACTGAGTTAAGTTAGTTGAGGGAGAGTGAACAGAGGTACGACGAGTTGAGGAAGAGGGAAAGGAGCGACAGTAGTTAGTTGAGGAAGATAGAGAAGAACTACGGATTAGTTGAGGAAAGAGAGAGAAAAGAACTACGATAGAACTGAGCAGTTGTTAGGGAATACTTGCTAGAGACCAGAAGACGACAGATGATAGAAGAAACTCATATCTTAGAAATAAACATGCTTTCATTATCGTTGGACACCTGGAGTTTAAGTTGTTGCATTTCGTCCAAGTCTACGTTGTGCTTTTGTCTGTCTCAACGCCTAGACACTCACCATATAAATCACAGAGAGGAGCGGTCCTGTACTGACCACTACTTAGTCAACACAGTTCGTGGTAAGTCAGGACCGGAGCCCTCCTCCGTAACAACCGTTCTGTGACACCATCTCGTCGTAGGCTAATAATTTCACATTGGCTAATGTCAGCCCATGAAACATTTTTGAACATGCCTCCGGGTAATCCGCAAACACGTCTCTTGGTCAGCTGTTATTATCACTGTTAATACCATGACATGTTTGTTATTTGGTTGTAATTGCTCCGTAGTGACCGATTTTTTAAGCTTGTTATTCAAGTTGTGCGTGGTATTCCAAATTGTGGAGCAGCTGCACGTATGGACTTTTAAGTTAACGTTTCATCAATTATTATTAAATATGCTACTAACTTTTGTAACAAAGTTGCCTTAAAAAAATACTTAGCATATACTTATTAAATTCCAAACCACTTTTGTCTTTATATTTTCAAAAAAACAAAAAAACCGCGCCCCCCCCCCCCCCGCTCACACTATTTGCACGGATTTTAAAAAAAATAAATAATTGTTCTAAAATGAGAATATATCAGAGGCACTGCGTTTCCAGGGCCATTTCGACTAAATGCTTTTCGGAAGTCATTTGTGGCTTGTTAATTTGAGTTAAGAAGTAAGTTTACCAACAAATAGTCCATTCAATTATCTTTCATTTGATACATCATTTTGTCTTACAAACCCAACAATAATATTTTTGATAGTTTTTTTATCCCAATCTCTCACTTCTGGTACCAGGGTGCGAATAGCCACTTCGTTACAAATAATTACCGTAGTATCATTGGCCTTCAGGCCATGATGGTGGAAAAAAAGATTTCAATCATTCTGCTCTAACATACTTTCCCTTTCAATTGGAAAACACAATTTAATCAAAGACAGATGTAAAAGTTGTAGATTTATTATCTTACATTAGCTACATTATAAATTAGAATTATTGACAACTCATGGCGTAACAGCAAAACCATTACCCACCACTCATTTGCATTGTTTGAAATATGTACATAAATACAATCAGTACCATTTTCTATTTTATTTATACTAGTTATTGAAACGGCTGTACAAAATACATTGAATTTAATATTTAGATCAAGTCTTTTGTGAGTCACACAGTGCAAGATATCAAAGCAAGGAACAAATGGCCACGACAAACAGTATGTACAGGTAAAACACTCAAATTGGTACGGTTTGTACAATGTAGTGGGAAGAGGAAAAATATAAGCCCCCCAAGCATTTGATTAACACATTAAAATTAAACAAATAATATATTATAACCTATAAATAGTAAACAGACAAATATAACATTTCATTGCATTGATTTTTGTGAGCAACACTTAGTAGTAATCCAATCTTCCATCAGAGCTGGTCAACTTGCTACAGTCTTACATAAAGATTCATGAATTTATGACGACATTTTTCATGCTTTATACTCGCAGAGAATAATTAAATGATCATAGACTTGCTGTACCCGGTAATTGCTAGATATTACTGCTAAAAATGAACATAATCAGACAAAACTGGTAATTGCTAGATATTACTGCTAAAAATGAACCTATCAGACAGAACCGGTAATTGCTAGATATTACTGCTAAAAATGAACCTATCAGACAGAACCGGTAATTGCTAGATATTCACTGCTAAAAATGAACATATCGATTGATTGATATCACCTGACCAACAGTTTCATTGCCCAGGACAGATGGAGCAGTAACCTCCCACAAATGCCAAACAGCCACACGCTGTACAATGACCAATGAGGAAGACCTGAAAATCTTCACCATAGCCTCTGGTCAGAGGGCACATGCTACCAATTAAGAGAGATGAGGCTATTGTTACCATATGGACAAAACACAATTATCCTGGAGTAGAAATAGTGACCTAATTTTGACAATTTAACACTACTTACTATTGCCAGAACAGGAGCTTATTACCTCCAATCAAAAAGTAAATTTTAGCATAAAAGTTGTATATTAAAAAAGGGTCAAAGTGAGTCAAAACCCATGAAACAAAATGAACAACTGGGTTGATAACAAACAATCATCCTGAAGATAAAAGGCAATCAAATATTTAAAATGATAGAAATTCTTTAAAAAATCAACTTTTCAAAATGAAATTAAAACAAAATGATGTTAGGAGCAAAACTTTCAAATCAAAGCTTTAATTTTTATTCTTTAATGACATCTTTGTAAACTAGAGAACTACACTCTATTATCACACAGGGAAAATGAACAATAGTGTTTACATACTGCTCCATATTTGATGTTTACAACATAGATCTTCAAAGAGGGAGTTTCAAACATCTTTATTTTGACTACCCCCAGTACCTACCCTCAGATAATTCTGCACTGTTTATTGAATAACAGGTTATTGAATAAGATGTCAAAGTGGCAACATTTTGCTCTTTTAAATGGTTATAGCTTTGCTGTGAGTTGGTTCATTAGCAAAAAAAATTAATATTTAAAAAAAAGGAGGGGTTTTTCATTTCACCCTTAAGTACTGTTTATTGCAAGGCAGGTCTTTTTCGTGGACACTGCCAACTGTACCATATGGTAAATGCATTTATTTTTTAGTTGAATGCTGTTTGAAATTTTAACAAAAACCATTATAATTATGAGACCGTCATCTTTTAATGTCCAGCCAAGACTGTGCAGTCACATGAAGATCATCTCTACTTAGACAAAATATCTGCAATGAGTAGATTTCAAATTGATTTCTTTGTAGGCTGGGCAAATGCCTTGATGGTTCCATTACAAGTCACAACTTGTTTGGTGCAAAATAATGAAAAACCTAGCCCTATAATGGCTAAGGTTGCTGGGAATGCCCATCCGCTGGATCCGCTATGGGTCTGTGTCAGTGAGGTGGCATGCTGTGAAAAAAAGACAAATTGGAACTTTTTATTTAAGGATACCACCAAGAAAATTAATTTATTTAGTGTTCACCTCCATGGTTATGAAGTGGGGAAGTAAATTAAAGTTTTAAGGGAATGGCAAGGTAAGGTGAGCGTGAGGATTAACAATGGATAGGGTGCTAACATAGGTAAAGTTTAAGAAAGTGGGTGAGAAGGCTAACTTTGGGGAGTGTGTGTTGCATTTTCCTTGGCGCCAAAACATAGTGTAATAAACTAAACTATGCAAAGTTCTTTAAATAAACTGGAACCCGGCTATCAACATGCCTCTCTATATCAAACCTTTGGATATAACCTGGTCACAGCATGGCTTCCGTAATTCATTATCTTCATTTCAAATCCATTAGCAATTCGGGCATGTGCCAATCGGTGAAGAATGTACACATACTCTGAAGCTGTTCTTTGCTTGTATATAGAGTGGTGGTGTAGTCTGTTTAGTTGGTAGATAGTTTAGTTGGCTCTGGGCTGGCATATGTGTGTGAAAAACATCTGCTTGTTGAGCCCATACCCAATCTATTAAAACGCTCTTTTTTGTTTTTGTTATCTCTGATTATCTTCTTTGCAAAGTTGAGTGATGTTGGTATATTTGGCTGTTCATTGGATGCTCCCTGTTTTTCTAGTTTGTCTAAATCGCTCTTTTCCTTGTTTATTGTGGTATCATGGTATCCATTGTAATATTAACTTGACTGCATGGGTTTCACGGAAGGTGTTAATTTTCAGAAGCAGTTCAAGTAGTGATTTTACGTTTTTTTGTGAGTTATTGATAAGTATTGCTTTGCAGTCCCAGAAGATAACAACATTTCTTATTTTACTGGGATAAACAAAGCACTTCAATAGCAGTTGCCTCAGCTTCATAATTACTGCTGATCCCTTGCTAGGAGTTGCCGAGTTCATCAAATGATTGGTCTCTGTACTCTATTTGTTCAACATAGCCTGCATGTAGTGATTCCTTTGAAAGCTGTACTTTTCTATTAGGTTGTTTTTGATTTAAGCAGTTCATAAATATTGTTTTGGGGATAGGTCTTTAGGTATGATTTACAAGTCATCTCTGTTGGTACGTGGTGTTTCCATTCAATTTCAGAGGCCTCATCTAGTAATGATTTCTGTTTAATTCTATGGTTTGTTCTCCATTTTTTATCAATTGTTTGGATGCTGCTTGTCTAGCCTTCTGTACATTTAAATCATCTCGATAACAGCTGTCCCTGTTCTAAGATTTAGTGGCTCAATATTAGTATTAGTATGTATTTTAAATGCTGCTTCTGGAGTAGACCTTAGATCCCCTGAGATAAAATGGACTGCCTGGCTTTGTACCAGAAAGTGCTGTGCTGTCTAGCTGCAAATCAACTGTAGTGCAAAGCTGTTATTCATGACTGATCACACATTTTCAATGTACAACTGATTTTGTCACTGCCCCAATAGGCCATGGCCAGCCTTTTAACAAAGTCTTGTTGACTTTTCTTTCAAGTTTTGAACACACTTTTTTAATATTTAGTGGCCTTGCTAACTGGACAACCAGCTCCCGAAATTAAGCACTGGTAAAATGATTTGCAAAGAATAAAAATATCTAAGTACCGGGTATGTGAAGAAAGATTATAAAATATACATACTCTCACAACACAATTAATAATCCACTATAAATAGACCACACTTGTTTTAAAAAAACTGTTTTGTTGATGAAATCAGCTATTTTTAATAACATGCTTAATTTGCTAAAGCTCCACTCAGTTTTTTCTATTATAAATGTCACTTAAAACTACTGTCTAGGACATCTTTCCTATTTTTTTTTTATCTTAAAATTTTGAAGAAAAGGAAACCATTAATTTACTCAAACAAGTCTACAATAAGTTTTTAAACTTTTACATCTTAAACTTCCAGTATTAAAGTCATACATTTGATAATTTACATTATTACTAACCTGTTCCACTCTAAATATTGGTTCAGAAACTTGTGAATAAGTCCTCCTGTTGCCAGTTTTTCCCTTAAGTGCAAATTTTCGGACAACACGAGTGCTTGAGTGGATGATGCTCATGCTGTTTTTTCAACAATAAGTTGCTAGTACTTTGCCTTTTTTCGATAATCTATCTGAAAGGAATAGATATACCTAAAACCTTTAAACAATTAAAAAAACAAAAAAAGTTAAGAAAACTTGGGGAAACTCAAATTTTATTTTGGAGTCATTTTCCCCTGCATTGTCACTACACATTTTCAATTGATTCAACAGTATTGAACTTTGCTTAATCCACATAATTTTACGTTGGAACTTCCTTAGCTAAGCAAGTGGTGGAAAATGATTAATAGTCATGATAAAGATAGTATGGCAAAAATTATTTTCTTAAATCCTAAAATCAATTTCATTAAAAATAAATTAATTAAAAAATATGATTTTATTGGTTGAGCCAGCACAACTTAATAATACTAAAGAGCTTGTTCCAATTATGGTATACATTTGAGAAACAATAGCCCTTATAATGAGCGGAACTAGAATGAGTGGACTAGGGATTATGTTACAAGGTGTAATCCAGAGACGTGGCTTATGCACATGATCTTGAATAGGGGTGTGCCGGATCCGTTTTTTCCAACCGGATCCGGATTTTCTTATGCGAAATACGCCGGATCCGGAATAATCCGGATTCCGGTTTCTCCCGGATTCCGGATTTTGGTACTATTGGTAGATACTTCGGTAAGTCAAGGTGGACTACTACTTTTTGTGTATGGGAATTCGCAAACAGCGCCAAAAAAATCCGAGTTTTTAATTTTCCGATGTGTGTGTCTATTTATTATTAAATTAGTACTTTCGATATATATTCGAGTTCCGTTCCATTTGGATATGTGTCTTACGAGAGACGCCATGTTTCTACGCGTTCGCAGCAGGTCATGCAGCTCGCTCAACCTAATTTCGCCATGGGGTTGGCCACGCCCCCCTTTTTAATGGCGGAAGTTGACGATACTTAGGAAATATTAATTTATTATCACTATTTACATCAAAATAATTGATAACTTGTGTTTCAGAATGCATTTAAAGACATTTAAACTGGAATGTTTTAATTTGAGCTTTAACAACCCGGTAGAATCCATATTATAAATGATCAGAATTTACCGTGTGCAACACGTTGTCATTGGCAACCATTCACAGCCACTTGCATAACTGTATCGTAGTACTACCTCAGAGTTTCATTCATAAGAGTTTGCCGTGTGCAAAAACTATTAAACCATTGGTCAGGGAAAGCTTTAATTAATTATTCATGTGCCAAAGTTGAAAGTTTAAACTAAGTCTAAACAGTATTTTAGTGATAAGGCAGGGAATGCGTTGCCTTATATAAACTATATAGTCATTGCGCATGACGGGATTGGTGGAATGAGATCACAGAATGTGGAGATGCAGTCCATGTTAAAAAATGACAAACCAAGTCGTACTTTAAAAATTCATAACTTTAAAACTACAACAGCTAAAAATATGATTTTGGTGTTATAATTCTTTAAAAAATTACATCTTTTCAACTATGCCATTGGTTTATTTTTACAAAAAGTTTAAATTTTCTTATCAAAGTCCCTACACTATTGGCCACTATTAGCGGTGCTGACTCTAGCCTCTGGTATGTACGGAATATTAAACATTAAACAAGCTCAACGCTCGAAACAATCGATTAATGTATCGTGATCGTGTGGAATTCGGGAAAGAGAATTACTTTTATTTCAGATTATGATCCGGTGAGTCACAAAATCTGGCAAATTCCGAAATCCGGTATATTCCGGATTCCGGTTGTTCCGGATACATGTAAATCCGGCGGAACCGGATTTCACCGGATAGTGCAAAATCCGGCGGAACCGGATTCCGGACCGGACTCCGGCACACCCCTAATCTTGAAGTACCCAAACACCAACAGCTAGGGATGAAGAATGTCTCATTGGCGTAGCGAGGGTTAGTGCCACCCAGGGCAGGCCGAGATCTTTACCACCCACTACCACAAATTTTACAAAAAACCCACATCATTTGACAGAAATTGGTACCCCTCCATATTCTGAATACCGTACCACAATAATAAGAAAAAAAGTAGCCTAATCTTCAACTTATAAAGAGGGGAGTCCCTTACGCAGAACAAAATAAGACAAAACCTTGCATAGAACTATAAAAATCAAAACCTTTTGGCTTTTGGATATGAAATATGGAGAACCTCTGTGACCTATTTTTTTAGTACATTATATGCCAATGCCATGGATAACCACTAATCCGAAGTCGGCCAATTTTAGATACGAAGTGTCTACACGTCCGGCGCGCCGGACGTGTAGTGCGCAAGATACACGTCCGGCGACTTGTCACGTGACCGCCGGACATGGCCGGACGGCTAGTAGTTTTTATAATTCCAAACGAAGTACGATTTAGTACATCTTGTCTGGTCTTGTGGTAGAGTGGTTGCATGACGATAGGAATGTTTGAGGATCTATACCGGGGATAGGGTCGTTTTTTTTCTTCCCATTTTAATTAAAATATTTTGTATATATTTATATTATCATGTTCCTCAGCAACAGTAGTTTCATGAGAAGTTTTTAAATATTTTGTAGCAATTGAAATAATTTAAAATGAAATCTTTAACTTTTATTGGTTGCCACACTGGCCCCTAATTTATTTTATGGATTACTGGTACACAAAAAATAACAAACTAAACAAAAATGTTTACAAGCCACTTTCACTTAAGTTTCTTTTTCTATTATTTGCATTCAAGATACTCAGTACATTATTTGGTAGAGAAATAGATTTTAAAATTAACAATAGTTTTGAATTATTCGCAGTCACGTGACAAGGCTGACCGACACGATATCTCTCGCCACTTTGTTACGGCGGTCATGTGACTTGGTCGCCGGACACATAGTGCGGAAGATAGACGTCCGGCGCGCCGGACGTGTAGACACTGCCTTTTAGATACAACCAATTGGGGAACTTATGATGCATCTTTGAAGACAGAAGATTTATCCGCGATTTAGACTTCATAGCACCACTAATGACAAAATGGCTAAATCTGAGGACGAATGCCATGGCGTCTTTAGGGTGTTTATTATAGCTGCAGTGAATTAGGGTTTAGGTTAGGTTGAGGGATCAATTTAGGGTTCAGGTTAGGCATAGGGATCGATTTAGGGATACATTCGTGAAATTCGATATAGTGGCATTCCTCCTTGTAACTGTAATTTACCACAAAAATTCATGAAAACTTGTGTAGGCCTACTTTTTTTTATCTGGTACACATTAAATTTAAATGATAAATGGTTGTTGTGTTTGAACACAGTAATTTAACTAAATTTTACTTAGTATAAAATACTTTTATTAACATTAATAATAAAATAAACTTATTATAAAGTTAAAGCCTTTAACACGAGGCGTCTGGGGCAGTGAGGGGATTACAGATTAGGCCAAAAAAGTGGCCACGCTGCATGCAAAAGCATTATTATTAATTTATTAATCAGCCTTTCGTCAATTATGGTTCAAAATATTACATGTAACTTGGGTCCGTAATTATGCCAATACTTACTTAACACAATGTTTTCAAAGCAAAGAAATGCGAAACTTAGTGCTTAACCCCACACTCACAGGTATGTCCTTGAACAGTTAAAAGGTTGGTTTAGCTATTTCAATGTATATTATATTTCGTACATCCGGCTGCAGGTAGAAAACTAAATTTCCGCACACGTACCAATAGCAGATTTTGAAATAACAATATTTAAGTATTTTTTTTAAAGACTTCAACTGACCTTTCATTAATATAAGAATTGATTTAAAATTTAAATGACGCGTATACTTAATTAAACAATAAACTTGTTATTATTTTGTTTTTTTCCTTAATTAAATAATAGTGTTTCCAATTGTTATGTTTACTTCTTTCTTAGATTCTTAACAAACACTCAAATAAAATTATCCATAATTCAAAGTTTTGATGTTAAGTAAAATTTTTGTCATTCAAAGTGTTGTATATGGCATTAAGAAAGTCTCCTGAAAATTTGATAGCATTATCCTTTAAAAAGAAAAAATTGTTGGTAAAATATTATGGCAAAAATTTGGAAAGTCCGTCACAAGTTATCACAGTTAAATACAAAAATAAATTGGCCGGCACTACGTACACCGCGGAGGTGTACCTAGCGAAACTATTGACTTTGGCCTACGTACACCGCAGCGATTTTTACACCATGCCCCGAGGGATCACATATAATGTTATATTTATAATGCCCCCCCCCCCCAAAAAACAAAAAAAAAACAAACAACAACAAACAACTGGGGGGGGGGTGGGCAAAGGAAAATAATTTGAAATTAAGATTCACAATCATAGGATAAAACTTACAATTAATAAAAATATTTGAATTCCGATATATTGAAACAATAATAAAAAGCGGAGGTTTACCTAGCGAAACTATTGACTTTGGCCTACGTACACCACAGCGATTTTTACACCCCGCCCCGAGGGATCACAAATAATGTTATATTTATAATGCCCCCCCCCCCCAAAAAACAAAAAACAAACAAACAACAACAAACAACTGGGTGGGGGGTGGGCATAGGAGAATAATTTGAAATTAAGATTCACAATCATATGATAAAACTTACAATTAATAAATATATTTGTATTCCGATATATTGGAACAATAATTAAAATGTCTGTCAAAGTATGTACATTACTCATTTCATTACACATAATTTAACATATGTCATATGTCCAAGGTTTAAACTGTTACTTCACATATTACAGAGAAGAAGGATTTACATCAGTAATTATCTGATTTTATGACATCACTTGGGTTTCCCATCATTTATTTTCGAAATTCATTTCAAACGAATAATTTACATTTATAAGTATAAGAAATATAAATTGTTATTATTTTAGGTTGGACAAATGGAAACGTGGACATATTTTTTGATACATTATCTGGTGCACCGTTTCTGTGTCATGTGACTTGTATTTACATTTCATTTAGATACCAGATTGTCATTTTAGTTCAAATAATATAGTGTTACAACATTCATTATTTTGTGTATAAAATCAAACCTTACAAATGTTCAAACATTATTAAATTTTTTTTAAATGTGATAATTAAAATCATAAATAAATCAAGAAGCTTTTATATGACGAGTGTATTTTTTTTTCAATATGGGGATCATTTCTTGAATACAGTACTCTTCAGTCAGCCTTTTCAAGTAGGCTTAAACAGAGTTTAGTAAAATTGGAAGTCAATGCACTGGAATAAAGCAGAGAACATTAAAACCAGTTTATGATCAACTAAGAAACCCAATAACAAGTAGGCCTACTCAATATACTTATTAATTGGGGCTTAGTTAGTAACTATTAGTTAGCCAACATAATCATAGTTTTAACTTCTTATGAGTAGCCTACCAGTTAAACGGGTTGAGTTAAGGAAAACTATAGACTATCTATATATAATATAATAATATTATTTATAATTATTAATTAACTATAATTTAAATAATTTTATTATAATATTAATATAATTTATAGTATTATTAATAATACTAAAAAGTATTAAGTCAAAATGTACTATAGTATTAGTTATATATTTTGACTCTTCTGTGACTGTGTCAAATAATTTTAACGAAATGAAATGATTAGGCCTATTCAGCCTATTCGCACAGCTGTGCGCGTAAAGCTCATCGTTTTTCAAAAATTTCGGTCTTAATTTGGAGTGTGCTGCTGCTGTTCGGGCTGTCGAAGACTGCTGTCTTGCTGTGAAAGAATGGATGTCATCAAACAGACTAAAATTAAAATTAAATGATGATAAGACTGAGACAATTATTTGTAGTTCAGACGCCAATCTTCGGAAAGTTGCCATTGCATCAATAAAAGTTGGTGAATCAGAGATCCTATTGTCCTCGACTGTCAGGGACTTTGGCTTTTATATTGACAATAAACTTAGTATGATTCCCCAGATCAATTCTGTGGTCAAGGCGTGCTTCTGTCATCTGCTTGCCCTGGGTCAGCTGTGTCCTCAACTCAATAGGAGAACAGCCAATGCTGTAGTGGTAACTCTAATCCAGTCAAGATTAGATAACTGTAACAGTTGTTTGTGGGGTTTATCTCAGAACCAAATTCAGAGACTCTAAAGATACAAAATACTGCAGCATGCATTGTATCGCAGATGAAAAAATCTGACCACATCAACCCAGTTCTACGAGATCTCCATTGGGTTCCTGTGAGTGAACGCATTAACTACAAAATTATGTCCCTGGCGTACAGCTGCATAGATGGCTCAGCACTGGAATATCTCAAAGAACTGATTCATAAACATGTAGCCTTGAAGAGCCTGCCAACTTCAACACAGTACTTACTTAGAAGTCCTAGTGTGGATGAACACAGAAAAAAGTCTTATGGAGTGCGCTCTTTTGAAACGATAGCGCCAAAATTATGGAACAGTTTGCCTCAATCTTAGAGGGGAATTGAAAATGATAAAAAAATCATTCAAGAAACATTTTAAAACTTTTTTGTTTAAATAGATTTCGGAAAACCAGAGCGCAGTGAGCATGCTAAGAGGGCATGGATAAAAATATAAAAATCAATCAATCGATCAATTGGATAAATGAAAGAATCAAAGCATGTAACTGACTCCTTTCAAGGCAAAGAAAACTTCAGAGCCCATGGTACCAGTCTCACTTAGGCTACATATTTTTATTGCTAGCATAATATTTAATATAAATACTAGAAATTTAGAGTTATGTCTAGGAGGATCGACTGGTTATATTAGTAACACTAACACATATATTCTGGAGAAGGTCTGAGATTACTCTCTTATGATCCTGGCTAGTACATTGGCTACCAGCTCCATCTGCTGAGCTGAACCATACAACATATTCCTCACGTAGGGGTCTCCAACCGCCCTGGCTCCCCCCGGCACTGTGATGATTTGGAGCTGGACTTTATAAAATTTCTTTCCCATCAAATACGGCTTTGAATACCCTGTAATATAACACCATTCCCTCCCTACGTTTTGCCCCGCAGACGCTTAACACGAGTGAGTTCCCTTGTGTTATGGCATTCCTGTCAAAGTTCGCTCACCTCCAGAGCGTGCAATTTTGCGGTCAACCCATCCCACCGAAAAACCTTGAGGAAATTAATACCGTCACCCCCCTCATTTCTGCCCTGGAGACAACGAAGAGGAGTAGCGCCCCTTAGTTGTTATTGCATTTCTTAACCAGATTGCTCACGCGAAAGCGTGATTTTGGATTCTCACCTCACCCCAATTAACCTTGAGGGTTGAAGGTCAAACCCGCAACAGTGAAAGTAATTGTCATTGGATGGAAAAACATAGAACATTTGAATCACCCAATTGAATCATCACCTAATCGCCACCCAACTCGAATAAATAGTCTGAACAAGCAACATTCTGTCTTTTATGATCATGCTCTTAGAACTTATCTAGCGTGATTCATAACTGCAACCTAGGACTTAGCAAGTACACGTCTTTTAAGATCTGATCACTCAGTTGTGAACGCTTGAAGTAACTGGACTTAGTACTTCACCAGCGAGATACTTAACTGCGACTGCTACTAGAGTACTACCTGGTTTCTATTACTGGACCGACTTACCTTGAGCTGACGCTAGGGGATTGATCTACATCCTACTCCAAACTACCTGTCAGCCACCAAAAGGACTTCGAGTTCCAGTCACTCTCACCACCACGATTCATCGCGGGAGAGTCATTTTCCCCATCGCAGACATTCCACGGAATCTACGACCGGGAACTCCGACTTCGCTACGCCTAGAACAGCTACGAAGGCCGGAACAGGGACACGCTTCTAGAACTGAAGGAATTCCCTTACTATGATCCACCGAGATCATCACTAGGACTATAAAGGATAAGTCCACCAAGATTGAGCATAGAACTTGAGCAAAATTTAGCATTTTTATGATGATACCGTTTGTATGTTAGGGACACTTGCTTTGCAATAATATACATTTCTAATTGGGATAAAGTCCATTTGATGATTATATGTTAAGCACCAGGAGTGTGTAAAGGAGGATTTTGTAAATATTGTTATTCATTAAATACTCATAGTTATTTATCCTTTACCTGAGACTTCGTTTCGGTCTATACTATATGTAAATAGATAGGTGTTATGTCTGTGTGGTAGTTTGGCTCAAATAACGTACCCCTAGACAGAGAGCCAAGAGGAGGTCTCATACGAGAGATACTCCTCACTAATATATTAAAAGTCAAATCACCACAGGCACATCTAGTGAGGGACATTGGGTCAGTAGTAACACTATAAAGGTCGAATAGACCCTATGTTGGCCCTTAACAGAGCAGATGTATGCACAATTAATTATCCAATAATTTTTTTTAAAGAATTCACATAATATGGAATTAGGCCTATAATATGGTGTGACTTAATGATGGATTGTAGGCTTTAGTTAGGCCTATTAAAATGTTTGATTTAAATTGTGCATAGCTTTGGGCTAGAAATGTGTTTGTGCCATGCTCATTAAAGATGGATCTTTCCTACACTACTTAACATTCCCCCCTCCCGGCTTGGAAGTTGATCCTAATCATTTCTAGAAATGTGCGTAATTATGCAAAAATTACTGTCTGCCGAAAATGCTCTGCGTTATTCAAAAATTTCGGTCTGCCACATAACGCTTCCCTAATTTTATATAAGTCTAATTAGTAAGTAAAGAGTAATTATAACACTGGACTTGGAGAACAAAAAAATGTGTCTGCTACAATGAGTAACAATGGGCTTCTAATTAAATTATCTACAGTATACGGTGGTGGATTAGCCTAGGCCTGATACATAGGCACTTCAGTAAAGTCTGGAAAATGCAAAAAAACAGAGTATACCGATTTCATTATCAAAATGTCGACCTCCACTTCTTAATTTACTGGTTGTTTACTATTCTTTTACCAATTATATCTCAGCTTGCACATTCTATTTTCACCCACATCTTTGAGTAGACATTGTTTTTTCATTAAACACTTTATTTTGTTCCAAAAAGGATTTGAGGTTTTCACTTTGAAAATAGAAGATAAAATAAGACTAACTTTAATCATTCATTATTTGTTTAGAAAATGTTTTTTTTTTTAATTTTAAAGTTGTCCATAGATAACAGCATTAATTACTATGTATCCAAAATTATTGAGGTTAGGACCAATGGATTGGTGAAGAAAAATGTGTCCACCTCTTTCACATGTGTCCCAAAATTACTTTTTATTAATAGCTGACTTTTTAAAAAGTAAATAACTTGATTGACACTCAGGAAATTCAGCTTATTATTTTATTATTATTTTTTATTGCTAATTTTTAAATGAAGCGCGATTAGCCTAGCCCTAAGCTCAGTGCCGTCTTAAGTCATGGGCCCAGTGGGCACTGGCCCTGGGCCCCTCGCTTATAAGGGGCGCTACGTTTCTAGGAGACTCACTCTTAAAGAGGCATCATGCTTTATATATTTTTTAATGACCATTGAAAGATTTTGAAAATTTAATTGGATCTAAAATTCCCAATTTCAACCCATGATTATTTATCAGCACATACCAAAATTAATATTATAAGTGCCAATCAAAGTTTGACAATTTTTTAAACTTTTAAAAGGGAATAGCACTTGTTAACAAGTTTGACTTTTCCCCAGACATGAATCGAAAAATAATAAAGTAAGAATCGGCTTCGCAGTACAATGGGGAAAAAAACGTTTCAACTGGCTTTTACTTGTGCGCATGGAAATTGACATCATTAAGACCATCGACTTTAAAACAATAATAAATTAATTCTCTGCAAAAAAAAATACGCAAACGATTATGTTGATTTTTATAAAATAATGTATTCTATTTGTCAATAATGATAATTTATTATCCACTGTAATTGTGATTATTTATAGTTTATTTCTGATAATGTTTTAAAACTATTATTGATTTTAAATGATTTTGTTTTGTGTATCATTCAATTGAATTCATCAAAGTTTAACTTAATTGAATGTTTATTTTGTTTTTTTTTTTTTTTTTATTTTTTTCCGTGTGGGGGGGGGGGGGACCCCGCCCCCCCCCCCCCCCCCCCGTTTGAGCATGGTGCTAGTGCCCCCCTTCTCACAGCCCAGATATGTTGTGTTGCTAGGGGCCCCAGTGCATTGCTGTGCCCAGGGCCTACTATGTTGGTAAGAGGGCCCCGCTTAAGCTGGTTTACCGCGCTATATAAGACCTCTGTAATAATAATAATAATAATGTAAATTATTATTATTATTATTAAACTTTAAAAAACTCACTCAGATCAACTGTAACACAATAATTTGTAAAGAGTATGTGTAACATAAAGTGGCAAAGTAATTTAATGATTTTGTGTACCCTAAAACAAAGCAAAAATGAAGTCAAAAATGTATTTATGATTCAAACAGCTGCAATATATTTTTAAAAATTAGAAAACTTTTTTAGACATTTTTTATCTTAAATTGTTTTTGACCCTGATGTTTTATGTTTTTACCCCAACAATCCTTTTCATGATATTATATACTTTGTCTGATTCCAATCAGGCTTTCTATACTATTCTTAGGCAATGTGTATGTCTTATGTATTTCCCACTGTGACTAGCATCATCAGGCATCTGGTAGAATGCCTTGACATTCAGTGAAAGGCCTAAAACAGAATGCCTCTATTACACACTTTGCATGTAACATATATGTGAATACTATGTATATTTCTTGAACACATTGATAACTTAAAGGCAGATTCTGTCTTCATATTTGGAAATTGTGTGTTGAAATCCATAAAACACATTTGTTTTACTTTCAGTACCATTAGCATCATCTTTGTTGACCAGTGTAATACTACTAATAGTAGGCTTGATCAAAACATGTTTTGAAAAAACTGAACTAACAGTACCTACATTTAGCAGTACCTTCTGTGCATACATTCTGTGCGATTCAACAATGCATTCATCATTTGACCTGATTTTCTTTTCCATCTAGTGAGTGCATTCCTGATTTTTCTGAAAGATAAATCAATCAACATAAGATAAACAAGATGATATGCCCATTTATTGTGTGTTCCTGAATGTTGTTGGACAGATAGCTTAATAACAAGAGGTAATGTGTGTGAGTTCCTGATTTTGGTGTTGAAAATAAAATTGACATAACTGATAGATTGTGCCGCCCACCCCTCTTTTTCCTTATCAACACAAAAAGTTGGACTTCTGTCAAATATTATGTCACAAACCTTTGCACCCCCCCCCCCCCAACCAAAAAAATGTTTCACATCACTTCTAATGTTATTGTATTGTCATTGTATTAATATATATTTAATGTTAAACTCCAATCTGTTTATCCGGTCCTATTTCAAGGTTGTTAAAATGTATTGCTGCTCCAATTGTCTTCTGATCCACAAAAATTATTTTTGCTTCCTGTCAACTTTCTGGTTGTACACTTGTGGTGTTTCCTATCTAAAACCAATAGGCCCTTGCTTTTTGTTAAGTATACAAAATAATGATGAAAATTGCTGTTTTTCAGTGCAAACAGTTTCAAATAAGTTCTGCATTTAATGTGATGTCATATTGCATGATCCCACTACCCTTGTCACATTGCATGATCCCACTACCCTTGTCACAAATATGTCCCCCTCCCCCCTATATGCATAACATCATTTAAGGCTTGCCCCAACTTGTCTGCATTTTTTAAAACTATTGATCTATGTAATTATTATATGCCTGTAATATAGTTTTATTGATAAAGCCACCTTTTTAATAATCAAGCTGATTTTAACAATAAATTTAGTTTTTTTTCTACTTTATAGGTAATATTGTCTTCATACTTAATCTCTGAAGACTTGAACTAAAAATCCACTTCCAACTAAAGTTTGTAAAATTGACTAAGTGATAGACTTCTACTAGTGTAGGATGTAGGGACTAAGTGATAGACTTCTACTAGTGTAGGATGTAGGGACTAAGTGATAGACTTCTACTAGTGTAGGATGTAGGGACTAAGTGATAGACTTCTACTAGTGTAGGATGTAGGGACTAAGTGATAGACTTCTACTAGTGTAGGATGTAGGCAACTCATGCCACTCCCATGCAGTTAAGAATCTAATGTAAAAAATCTTAAAAAATAAAGAGAAATTCCGTTATAATTTTGCGTCAAATTTCTTTTCGAACGCATTATTTTGTTACACTATATAGTATAGTGTGAACTGAAAAAAAGATTTGACCCAATTTCCGTTTGATCCAATTTCCGCCTATCAATTTTCCGTCGACAAAATTTCTTTCAAACAAATTTCCGGTAACGGATAAAATCATATTCTTTATTTTAAAAAAACACTTTTTTGGACATACCCATAATTATAAACTAGTTTATTTTAAACACTTTATTATGATACATCAAAATAAAAAAATATTTTGATAAAAATGCAAAATTTAAATAAGTTAAAAATTTAAAAATATTTCACATTCTAGTTTATTATAGTTGGAAGAATGTTTCAAGCTTCATATTTGTGAATTCCAGCAAGGAGAGACAACATTTTGCAATGGCTCTGTCTAATCATGATGGGGTAGCCAACATTAGCTATCTGTCATCCATAGGTAGTTCATCTCTTAGGAAACTCTGTGCCCTTTTGAGAAATGAAGGTAATTATAAGAAAACTGTAGTACATTCCATTGTCGCATAGGGCATAGAGCAAATCATGTCAAAAGTAAACCTTAGTTAAGGCAGGAATTATTTATATTTTTTTTACTCAAACTCATTCTGATCAGAAAATCATTTCATAACATGGTAATGTGAAAATCAAGTGAATTTATTGTAATTTTATATAATGTTTATCAGGGCTGTGCTGGGTACTGACTCAGAGACCCGGAAATTCTATTAGCAGATTCTGCACTTACCCGGATCGGAAAAAAAAAAATGTCACTGGTCGGGTGATAAAAAAAGAGAGCTATTTCTCATTTTCTATAGTGTCTTCCAGCCAATGGGGAGAACTATAGAACCACATCATTTTCTATAGTGTCTTCCACCCAATGGGGAGAACTATAGAACCACATCATTTTCTATAGTGTCTTCCACCCAATGGGGAGAAATATAGAACCACATCATTTTCTATAGTGTCTTCCACCCAATGGGGAGAAATATAGAACCACATCATTTTCTATAGTGTCTTCCACCCAATGGGGAGAACTATAGAACCACATCATTTTCTATAATGTCTTCCACCCAATGGGGAGAACTATAGAACCACATCATTTTCTATAGTGTCTTCCACCCAATGGGGAGAAATATAGAACCACATCATCATTTTTACTTAATTCTTATATCTGTTCCCTCCGTCTCCCCCCCCCCCCAATTACAGTCTAAGCATCATTTTAACTACAAAACAGCTCTGCCCTTTCCTCTCTTCTTAACACCTGTTTCTCAATTTCAAGGTATAATTCTGGTTACGGGTCACCACAACTTGGCAAATATTATAAAGGGGTTGCAGCTATAACAAGGTTGAGAACTGCTGGGTTAGGCTTTTATTATTAAGCTATTAATATTTCGAAGCCTTTAACTTTGATGCCTTTGTGATAGCTGCTGGTTCCATAAATGATCTTTTCACTTGACCCCATTGGGTGAAAGACATTAAAGAAAATGAATAGATAATTATTTTTTTGTAACACCCAGCCTCGGACCTGCCAGGTATTGTCTTAATGGACCTGGACAGAGTGTAAAAAAACTGCACCCTTCTCAGCCCTAATATTTATATTGTGTCTCAGCGCATACTTGACAAAGTTTGCCCAAGGTTCAATTAAACAACAAATATGGACATTTAAAAAAAAAAGAACTCATTTGTGATTGTAATCTAACTTTTCTTTAAAGAATGCAACATTAAAAACATGACATGAAAAGAGATTTACATCAAAGAAAAACACCGCAAAAATTTGCTTTACCAATTCGTATAGTTTTGAAGGACTCTGAAATTTTAAAGTTGCATTTATTAAAATAATATGTGTACATTTTTGCTTCTTTTTTCCAGGTCACAGAGTTCTCAGTGGCAATTCAGCATTCACACTGACAACAGAAGTCTTGTCTCATATTAATGGTGCTTGTCGACGTCACAGTGTGACCGAGCTTGAGAACCTCCCAGCAGGAAATGGAGGAGGTTCATTTTTAGCACTGACAAAAAGGATGCAAGAACAGCAACAGGCCATCAAAGCAAAGACAGAGTGGGCTGTTTGTATTCAGTTTATTCAAGATTTCATGCTCAGCACACCAAGTTTAAAGGTATGACACTTTCTATTAAAAAAATTGTCTTCATGGTATAAAATATATTTAGTTCCGAAGTACTTAAGTACACATGAAGAATCTGCATCATCCTGGGTTCACCTGATGTGCGCTGGTCACTTCCATCTAACCTTTTTTTGAATTAAATCATCCATTTAACATGAATATCATCTAAGCTCTAAAACGACCGTCTTGAATTTCAGGTCCTGCACAACTCCTGTACTTTAAGTGCACCCATCTCGCTACATAGATTTGGTAACTTGAGTTGTCTCCATCTTCGCAGAGTGCCAATACATATGGTTGAAGGCCTTCAGCAGTTGCGCTGTACACTTTCATCAATTACCATCTACAGATGTGTGGATAAACTTAAGGTATTTTATGATGAATACATTTATAGTTTACCAGCAAAAACTTTATTTTAAATTAATCATTGTTCTTATTGTAGATCATTGATGCATGAAGCATTTTTTGTAATTTTTCATGTTAGTGTTTGGACTAATTATAAGAGGTTTGACTGCGATAAAGCTTTTAAGAAGATTAATATGGCTCAAATATTTTGTGTACCTGTAAATAACACGGCATATTTAGCTAGAATTGTTAGACAAAATACACATAATACGTTTCAGCAAATGCCTTCTTCAGTACAACATAAAAACAAATACCGGTAACAGTAATGTTAATTAAATTTTACATATTAAATTTAAATCCTACCCATGACTATTAAACAATTTGAAAGAAAGGAAAAGAAACAGAATGGACTCAACATATCCTTACGAAAACTCAAAATGGTTGGATTTAAAATTGTTAAGTAAAATTAAATTAATATTACCGTTATAGTTTTAAAAAATAATATAAAATTCATTCATGCTGAATACATTTGAAGTATTTAGAAGCAAGCTGTGAGATGCTCCCTCCTTCAGTGAATTCTTACATATTTTCCCATTAATTCCAGAAAATATTCAACTGATGATGAACTTCAGGGATAAATAAATATTTAATCTCGAAAAATTTAATATTTAGTTACTAAACAAAGTGTCTAAAATTGCAGTGTTGAATTATGTGCCTAGGTTTAAAGTTTATTAGTATATAAATCATTTAATCAGCATGTCAAATTAAATTCACTGAATTTCTCTTCATTTTTTAAATTTATTGGTTTGATTGCTGCTTTGGCAACCGTAAGAAATCTTGGTTATTGGTTTGATTGCTGCTTTGACAACCGTAAGAAATCTTAGTTATTGGTTTGATTGCTGCTTTGACAACCGTAAGAAATCTGGGTTATTGGTTTGATTGCTGCTTTGGCAACCGTAAGAAATCTTGGTTATTGGTTTGATTGCTGCTTTGACAACTGTAAGAAATCTTGGTTATTGGTTTGATTGCTGCTTTGACAACCGTAAGAAATCTTGGTTATTGGTTTGATTGCTGCTTTGACAACCATAAGAAATCTTGGTTATTGGTTTGATTGCTGCTTTGACAACCGTAAGAAATCTGGGTTATTGGTTTGATTGCTGCTTTGACAACCGTAAGAAATCTTGGTTATTGGTTTGATTGCTGCTTTGACAACCATAAGAAATCTTGGTTATTGGTTTGATTGCTGCTTTGACAACCGTAAGAAATCTGGGTTATTGGTTTGATTGCTGCTTTGACAACTGTAAGAAATCTTGGTTATTGGTTTGATTGCTGCTTTGACAACCGTAAGAAATCTTGGTTATTGGTTTGATTGCTGCTTTGACAACCGTAAGAAATCTGGGTTATTGGTTTGATTGCTGCTTTGACAAACGTAAGAAATCTTGGTTATTGGTTTGATTGCTGCTTTGACAACCGTAAGAAATCTTGGTTATATAAAACAATCTTACCTTTGTTTGTTTTCTTCCAGGATTTATTGGAGTCTTGTGGTGGAGACATGAGTGCACCAATGACTTGGCCTGCTTTAAAATTTGTCTCATTCATGTTTAATTCACTGTCCAGTTTAGATGATTCCTTGGTAAGTCCATTTTTTTTATCAATTTGTACAGAGACATCATATTTTAGTAGTTAGACTCATCAGCCTTTATTATGTGAGGTAGTTAGACTCATCAGCCTTTATTATGTGAGGTAGTTAGGCTTATCAGCCGTTATTATGTGAGGTAATTAGACTCATCAGCCCTTATTATGTGAGGTAGTTAGGCTCATCAGCCCTTATTATGTGAGGTAGTTAGACTCATCAGCCCTTATTATGTGAGGTAGTTAGACTCATTAGCCTGTATTATGTGAGATTTTTTTATAAGACTTTATTTCTAAAATATATTTGCATTGGAGCAAAGTTGTTTTATTTATGAACTAAAGAAAACACAAACCACCTAATTTTGTTAATGTTATCACTTTTTTAAACTAGACGGAAAGTTTAATCAAATTCATTAATTACTAGAATCTCTAATATATACTTTACTCTGTTTCTGCTATGTTTAGCGTCTACTTCCCTTTGTTGAGGTCTTAGATTTAAGCCATAACTCACTAGAGACATGTGCAACACACTTAGAGGTAAGTGCATTTTAAAAAAACAATAATTCATCTACGTGTTAGACTAAGATAAATAATTTTTTACAGAGTGAAAATTTTATACATTTCTTTAGGACTAAAAATGGGTAACAGATTTTTAAAAATTGAAAATGTTTCTGATTATCATTGAACCAGGGTTGTCATGATTATCATTCAACCAAGTTTGTCATGATTATCATTCAACCTGGGTTGTCATTATCAAAATATGCATAAAAACTCATTTATCTATGTAACTGTCATTAAGGAGGCTTTTCAGGGTTTAACTTCCTACAGCAAACAATGTGCCAGGTAAACTAACTCAAACTTCCTATAGCAAACAATGTCCCAGGTAAACTAACTTAAACTTCCTATAGCAAACAATGTGCCAGGTAAACTAACTCAAACTTCCTATAGCAAACAATGTGCCAGGTAAACTAACTCAAACTTCCTATAGCAAACAATGTGCCAGGTAAACTAACTCAAACTTCCTATAGCAAACAATGTCCCAGGTAAACTAACTCAAACTTCCTATAGCAAACAATGTCCCCGGTAAACTAACTCAAACTTCCTATAGCAAACAATGTCCCAGGTAAACTAACTCAAACTTACTATAGCAAACAATGTGCCAGGTAAACTAACTCAAACTTCCTATAGCAAACAATGTCCCAGGTAAACTAACTCAAACTTACTATAGCAAACAATGTGCCAGGTAAACTAACTCACTAGTTGTCTTCAGAAATAGCCTTAGCATTTTTAATCCTAACTTACTTTGAAGGATGGGGCCTGCAGACCTGTTTACTCTTACAATTTCGGCGTACAATGTACGATTTTAAGATGTATATGTTACCGGCAATGTGTGAAATCCTGCATTATATAGAATGCCTAGGTATTATATAGAATGCCTGAAAATTGTAGGCAATGGTATGAAATGGTTTATATTTCACACATTTCCTAGGCATTCTATACAATGCCTAAGAGCGACCCGACAATGTATAGAATACCCCGCCATTAATGTTTGATTCTTTGCTTGGTGGTGGCGTGGTGATCGCAACACACGTGTTTAGTACTCCCGCCAAAGACGCTACCCCTTTTGTTTCAAGACGGCTGCTGAGTTGTTGGAAAATCAGATTGTAGCTTCAGAACAGGAATCACGGTATGTTTACATGCAACGACGGTGCTACGATGAACTTTCTCAATTGCGAGCCAATACTGCTAAAAACTGTGTTTCTCTAACGGAAACTCATTACCAAAAATTGGTGGATGATGTGAAAATGGCTCGGATGACAACCACGAAGAATCCACGAGACTATTGGTTGCTGAAATGCTATGATGTAATGGTGGTAGAGAAAAATGTAAGTTTATCTATCATGTTAAAGAAGGCGACAGTGCTATTCAGCTCTATGTCACGGATTCTGAATTATTTGATGTACTTCACGAGGCTCATTTGGCCGTGGGACATGAAGGAAGGGACAGAATGTTGAAAGAACTTTCACACAAGTATAAGAACATTACATGTGATGATATTGAACTTTACCTCCACCTTTGTGAGCCGTGCCAGAAGAAACAAAAAGGGTGTTACAAAGGGTGTTGTGGTGAAGCCTATGCTTTTTTGCTGAATTCAACTCTGATAATGGCCGGGAAATTACCAACAATGTGGTGAACAGCCTAAAGGATTACTGGCCCAAGTTGAAGATCGTCCATGGTAAACCGCGCCACTAACAAAGCCAGGGCAGTGTCGAAAGAGCTAATCAAGACATCGAAAACATGCTATGTGCTTGGATTCAAGATGAAAAAACAGACCAGTGGGCTGAGGGATTACGATTCATCCAACTTATGAAGAACAGGGCCTTTCGTTCTGGGATCAAGAGAACGCCTTATGGAGAACATGGCCTTTCAGTCTGGGATTAAGAGAACGCTTTATGAAGCTCTGATTGGCTGCAAAGCTAAAGTGGGCCTTGCAACATCTTCCATACCCCCTGACGATTTGCAAGACATACAGACTGAGGAAGAACTTGAAAAAATAATAGAAAGCGTACAAACAACACAGCAAGAAGAAGCAAATGAACAGATGCAAGATACAGAGCCTACTATACAGAATACTAAAGAGAATTTCAACCAGTAATGGAAGAAACCAAACTGATTGTGATGTCATGGTTACCGAAGAGCCTTCCACTTCTGGTGTTTGTTGTGTCTGCTTAAAAGAAAGCAGTGGTGCCCATACATGCCGAAACTGTCACCGTAATGTTCATGTTATCTGTGGGCATGCAGCTAAAGACGATGGAGACGAAAAAATAGAAGGTTATGGTGTTGGTATCTTGTGCAGCTTGTGTTTCAAGATAAAGAGAGCTATAGAGGCTAGAAAAGATTCTAAATTGAACCTTGAAATCTAGGCCAAAAAAATGAAAATAAACTCTGACCAAAAATTCCCTCCTGCACCTCTAGGAGCCACTGTGCAAGTTCCTATTCCTGACCTTGACAAGGGACGGGGTGACTCGCGCAATCTGTTGGAAGTTGTTATGACAGAGACAGAAGACGGCTTTTACCGACTTGGAACTGCACAAGGAATCTTGAAACAATTGTATTCAAGATCACAGTTCGCTGTATGTCCAAAAGATTTACTGAGAGTTGAAGACATCCCTGCCCGTGAAATACCTCTCCGATCTGCTGCTTTCTGTCAGTCAACAGGAAGCGGTCAAGGCTACGTGAGGTGTATGTGCAAGACCAAGTGCAAAAACAGGAAGTGTCTTTGTTTGAAAAAGAAAATTAAGTGCAATTCAAAATGCCACTCCAGCCTTACTTGCTGCAACGAGTAGCTCGATGTCACCTTTGATTACCTTACTTGCTGCAAAGAGTAGCTTGATGTCACCTTTGATTACCTTACTTGCTGCAACGAGTAGCTCGATGTCACCTTTGATTACCTTACTTGCTGCAACGAGTAGCTCGATGTCACCTTTGATTACCTTACTTGCTGCAACGAGTAGCTCGATGTCACCTTTGATTACCTTACTTGCTGCAACGAGTAGCTCGATGTCACCTTTGATTACCTTACTTGCTGCAACGAGTAGCTCGATGTTACCTTTGATTTCTGGTTTCATTGTTATCTTTTGTTTTCAAATAAGTTTTTCCAATAAAAACATTTTCTTTACGCTCTTTTGAAACTTTGCCTGAATTATATTTGACATTATATATAATACCTAGGCAATGTATAAAATTCCTAGGCAAAGTATGTAACTTAATCACAAAAATAAAATATTTCATACTCTGCCTAAAACCGCCAGGCATTCTATATATTGCTTAGGCATTCTATACAATGCCTGCATTTCACACATTACCGGTAACATATACATCATATATACTGTATGTTTCTTTTTTACTTTTAAGACAATGTATTGAATGATTTTGTGATGATATTGTACGATTTTAAGAGTATGAGGGTAAACAGGTCTGGACCTGGTTGGTGTTGGTTAGGAAATGAGATGGTTATCTGAAGTGGATTAAAATTACTGGTGTTTTTAACACAAACTCACACCTTTTAAAAAACACCACATCTTTTACAACCACCACACATCCTTTACAACCACCAAACATTCTTCACAACTACAAACCCATTACAACCCATCCCTTAGAGCCCCACTCTTTAAGACAGCACAACCTTTTACAACCACACTCTTTACAACAATACACTCTTTATGACCATACCCTTTACAAGCACCAACACCGTTTACAACCACTCTTTACAGTCCCACCCTTTACAACTACTCTTTACAGTCCCACCCTTTAGAACAACACCCTTTACAACTACTCTTTACAGTCCCACTCTTTACAGTCCCACCCTTTAGAACCACACCCTTTACAAACCACTCTTTATGCTCTCTTTGCAATCCCACCCTTTAGAACCACACCCTTTTTGCAAGAAAACACTCTGTACAACTCCTCCCTTTACAACCACACTCTTTAAAAAAACACTCTTCTCAAGACACCCTCTTTACTTCTACTCCCTTTATAATAAGACCCTTTACCGCTACACTCTTTATAACCACACCTTTACTCCACTCTTTACAACACTCTTTACAACCATATCAACCTTTTAACCACACAATTTACAGCCATACTTTTTGCAATCCCACCTTTTACATTCACACTCTTAACCCTACCCTTTACAGTTATGATCTTTACAACCACATTATTTACAACCACACCTTTTAAAAACCCACACTCTTTACCACCACCTTCTTTACAACAATACACTTTACAAAATATCCTACACATCTACCTAATATTCCACACTGCTACCTTGTTTGTGCACTCCTTTTCATGACAGTTATGGACACTTTTTCTTGTACTAAGACATTCCATATAAGGGGATGGATACTTTTTCTTATCACAAAAAGACATTCCATATTTGGGGATGGACACTTTTTCTTATCACAAAAAGACATTCCATATTTGGGGATGGACACTTTTTCTTATCACAAAAAGACATTCCATATTTGGGGATGGACACTTTTTCTTATCACAAAAAGACATTCCATATTTGGGGATGGACACTTTTTCTTACCAGGCAAAGACTTTCCACATATTCTTTATCCATTTTGCTGTCATAAACAGTACTTGTGTAAGTGGACCAGACTAGGCTACAGTGGCCTTAAATTGTTCAACTGGACAAACCTCCATTACAGCTACTTACCTGGCTTGGGCCAAATTGACTGCCCACACCACTATTTATTATAGTCATCTGTTACGTTCTTTAATTACCATATACCATCTTGGGGTTTTATGTAATCTTTTCATTGTAAACATGTGCAGACCTGTTTATTCTTATGATTTTGGCATACAATGTACAATTTTGAGGTGTACACATTATATATTATAAATACTGTATGTTTATTTTTTTTACTATAAAGATAATGTATTGAATGATTTTGTGTTGTTTATTGTAAGATTTTAAAAGTTTGAGGGTAAACAGGTTTGCATGTGTCAATTCAATTCTCCTTTAGTTTCCCCACGTGCTATTTTTTCTGCACAGCAAAGTTTAGATAGGATTGCAATTTTTGAAGAATATTTCTGTAAGTTACATGTGGAACCAAACCCAATATATTGGACCCATCCAGATTATTCTTGGCTTCAAAAATGATTGAAATGACTACTAATAGTTCAATAAAAAGGTATACAATCAATCAATTTAGGTAATATGTGAATCTTAAAATGTATCAGAAGTTGATCACATAACCTAATTAAGCCAAAATGTGAATTTTTTTTGAGGTTACCGGAAAATTGATAGGAAGAAATTTCGACAGTAAATTGATCGACGGAAATTTGATCGAACGGAAATTTGGTCAAATCTTTTTTTTCAGTTCATACATTAAAATTTTGCGTCAAATTTCTTTTTGAACGCATTATTTTGTTTTACTATATAGTAAAGTGCGTTCAAAAAGAAATTTGACTAAAATTTTAACGTGTGAACTGGAAAAAAATTTGATCAAATTTCCGTTGATTAATTTACCGTCGAAGAAATTTCTTTCAATTAAAATTCCGGATACAGTTTTTTGATTATCATGTATTCAATACAGAGATAAAGTTAATGCACAAAGTAAATCATATCTAAATTAATAACAACGATTACCATGGAAGATGATTGTCAAGTATGTGAATTATTAATGTAAATTGTGGGGTAGTCTGATGGATAGTACTTAACACAAGTGACACTGGCACAATGTAAATAGGGGGAAAGTCTGATGGATAAGACTTAACCCTTGTGACACCGGCACAATGTAAATAGGGGGAAAGTCTGATGGATGAGACTTAACACAAATTACACTGCCAAACATGCATGCAAATTAAATATTTAATTTGTAATTTACTTGCAAAGTGAACTCTGCATAAAGTAACAAGCATCGTCATTGTGTATGGATTATTAGTTGAAACTCTTTATTCCTGTGACTTTTATTTCAATGGTTTAGTTCCTTGGGGATGTCATCTCTATAACACTGGCCTACAACAGTCTTGTGACAATACCATCCTTTTCTGTCAGTACCAGATCTTCACTTACATTTCTCATACTGAGGGGAAACAACCTAGACAGAATTAATGGTGAGTTCCCTTGAAAAAAAACTTTATAGGTATTTACACCTTACAAATTTTAGATTAAAGCTATCAGCGGTTAATTCATTCTTACATAAAATTTATGTATGAAACTATTTTTTGCAGGTGTTGAAGTTCTCATTACTTTGCAAGAGTTAGATCTAGGTGAAAATTGTCTGAACGACCACAGTTTTCTGGAGCCATTTAGTGCCTTAGTTAAACTGAAACAGGTATTGCGAAAATTACACTAGTTTAGACTTGACATGGTAATGATGTAAGTACAGTTATAAGGAGAACATTTCAAATAACTCCACCAGAATACTGGTATCTGAAATAAAGATATGAATCTATGAAACTGCATTTATTCCATAAGAGAGGCCTTTGGACTGTAGCTAGAACTATTACTGCCTTTTAGAACCAATGCCTAAGATAACACTTTTCTTTTATGTTTAGATTTACTGTTACATAATATAGAACTGATATAATATGTTGATATTCTAATCTGTGAGCCTTATCTAGCACTCACAATGAAACATGTCGATGAGACATTAAAAAAACCAACTTGGCTCAATATTTAAAACTTTTTCAGCTCCAGCTTGATGGGAACCCAATTTTTTATCACAGATTTCATCGTCGTTTAACTTTGTCGTGTCTAGCCAAACAAGTTGTCAATACACAGGTATGTTCTTATAATTACATGTCTAGCCAAACAGGCTGTTGATACAGAGGTATAATATTATAATTACATTTGTAGCCAAACAGGCTGTCAGTACAGAGGTATAGTGTTATAATTGTATGTGACACATTTATTCTGACAAATTCTAATTGATAAATGTTAAGTTAAATGTCGTTGAAAGTGCTTACGTCAAATGCTAAATTTCTAATTCGTGTGTTATTTCTTACGATGTCTTATTTGTTAATTTTTTTATTTTTGATTTACGTCAGATGTCTTATTATAATAGTTATCCATAATGCCATTTGAAAAAATGGAGAGATAAATTTAAAGTTTAATGTTAAAATTCAATAGATTTTTAATTCTTTGTGTCTCAGTCTCTTTACTTTACCTTCTGAGATTTCTTTTGGTTTTAAATTCTGGAGCATGAACAAATGATAGATCCTGACAGAGAAGCTCTAATAGCTTCAGTTGCATGATACCGATCCCTAGATTTTGGTATAAATAGAAAAAATAATCAAACAAATAATCTTAATCTAAGTGATATAATTTATAATTCCATTGTTTTGAAAACAAGTTTGTTGACAATCATGTGAATAATTACAAACACTAACCTAAACAATTTCCACTAAAATACTTATACAAAGAGTAACCCTAACTTTCCACTAAAATACTTATACAAAGAGTAACCCTAAATTTCCACTAAAATACTTATAAAAAGAGTAACTCTTACTTTCCACTAAAATAATTATACAAAAACTAACCCTAGCCCTAACTTTCTACTCAAATATTTTTTCATCTCATTTAATTTCTAATCCATCATATAAATGATTTCAATAAAAAAAACTTTTCCCCCGATGGAAATTAAAGTTTCATCTGGACGTGCAATAAATATTATAATGGTTTATCACATATAAATAATATAATGGTTGATCACAGATAAATAATATAATGGTTGATCACAGATAAAACAAAATAGAGATTAAGCCGATTTACCACCAATTGGTCAGTGGAAGCCCACAGTAAGCAAACTCTTCAACTTTCTGATACGTCATCACTGATCCCCACAGTAAGCAAACACTTCAACTTGCTGGTACGTCATCACTGAGGCCCACAGTAAGCAAACACTTCAACTTGCTGATAGGTCATCACTGAGGCCCACAGTAAGCAAACACTTCAACTTGCTGATAGGTCATCACTGATGCTCACAGTAAACAAACACTTCAACTTGCTGGTACGTCATCACTGAGGCCCACAGTAAGCAAACACTTCAACTTGCTGATAGGTCATCACTGAGGCCCACAGTAAGCAAACACTTCAACTTGCTGATAGGTCATCACTGATGCCCACAGTAAACAAACACTTCAACTTGCTGGTACGTCATCACTGAGGCCCACAGTAAGCAAACACTTCAACTTGCTGGTACGTCATCACTGAGGCCCACAGTAAGCAAACACTTCAACTTGCTGATAGGTCATCACTGAGGCCCACAGTAAGCAAACACTTCAACTTGCTGATAGGTCATCACTGATGCCCACAGTAAACAAACACTTCAACTTGCTGGTACGTCATCACTGAGGCCCACAGTAAGCAAACACTTCAACTTGCTGATAGGTCATCACTGAGGCCCACAGTAAGCAAACACTTCAACTTGCTGATAGGTCATCACTGAGGCCCACAGTAAACAAACACTTCAACTTGCTGATAGGTCATGATTGAGGATTTTAACATAATAGTCAGAATTCTAACGAAAAGCCATTTGAATTTTACCAGACAATAATTTAATTTTAATATCTTTTTTTTTTAAATCTAAGCTTTTAAAAATAACATTTGTTTAAGTAAATGACTTAGAAACTAATAAACATGCACTATAATGCATGAGGCAAGTACTCATTTTAATGTATAAAACAGGTACTCACTATGATGTATAAGACAGGTACTCACTATAATGTATAAGATAGGTACTCACTATAATGTATAAGACAAGTACTCCTTCCTCATGTCTAATAAATATGCACTATAATGTATAAGATAGCTACATCCACTATAATGTATAAGACAGGTACTGACTACTCATGTCTAAACATAACAAATGTGATACTAACATCACTGATTGGCAGGTAGTGACCAGAGAGTTATCATTGCATCTGAATGGTAAGTTCTTAATGCGGTATTTAATGCATCAAGCTTGTAATGCTAATAAAAGTCTCTTTATGTCAATGCCATTGTGATTTCTATTTGACAGTTTGAGCTTGACAAGAAGAAACTGTCACAGTCAGAAATTTCAGTAAGTTTGTTCTCTTTACAATTTAACTAATAACTGTCAACAAATGTTATCAATTAAATGAAACACACCTTGATTTTCACAAGGACTTTGACAAATGTACTAGAAATAGTATGAAAACATTTTAACATCAGGATGAGAGCTGTCATGTTATTTGCACACAGCTTTTACCATATCAGGATGACAACTGTCATGTTATTTGTACTCATGCATTTTGGAGGATGAAAATACTTTCCTTTACACATATTAGGGCTCTTATTAAAATGGGCGCAGCCATTTGCCCTGCATGGCATTCTGTTGTGAAAAGGTGTAAAAGATTATTGCCCAAATGGTTGTTCCCACCAATAGAAACCTGATCTATAAAGAGTTGTTCATTTTTAAAATTCAAACTGTTGGTTTTATCATGTAATCAACCTTTAGAAAACCTAAACTGATTGTGATAATATGGCGCGTTTGTTTTTGCACTGATTATGGTATGACACACTTGTTTTTGTACTGATTATGGTATGGCACAGTTGTTTTTGTACTGATTATGGTATGACACACTTGTTTTTGTACTGATTATGGTATGGCACAGTTGTTTTTGTACTGATTATGGTATGGCACAGTTGTTTTTGTACTGATTATAATATGACACAGTTGTATTTGGACTGATTATGACATGACACAGTTGTTTTCGTACTGATTATGGTATGACACACTTTTTTTTGTACTGATTATGGTATGACACAGTTGTTTTTGTACTGATTATATGACACAGTTGTTTTTGTACTGATTATGATATGACACAGTTGTTTTTGTACTGATTATGGTATGACACACTTGTTTTTGTACTGATTATGGTATGACACAGTTGGTTTTGTACTGATTTGGTATGACACAGTTGGTTTTGTACTGATTTGGTATGACACAGTTGGTTTTGTACTGATTTGGTATGGCACAGTTGTTTTTGTACTGATTATGGTATGGCACAGTTGTTTTTGTACTGATTTGGTATGACACAGTTGTTTTTGTACTGATTATGATATGACACAGTTGTTTTGTACTGATTTGGTATGGCACAGTTGTTTTTGTACTGATTATGGTATGGCACAGTTTTTTTTGTACTGATTTGGTATGAATTATGGTATGGCACAGTTGTTTTTGTACTGATTTGGTATGACACAGTTGTTTTTGTACTGATTATGATATGACACAGTTGTTTTGTACTGATTTGGTATGGCACAGTTGTTTTTGTACTGATTATGGTATGACACAGTTGTTTTTGTACTGATTATGATATGACACAGTTGTTTTTGTACTGATTATGATATGACACAGTTGTTTTGTACTGATTTGGTATGGCACAGTTGTTTTTGTACTGATTATGGTATGGCACAGTTTTTTTTGTACTGATTATGATATGACACAGTTGTTTTTGTACTGATTATGATATGACACAGTTGTTTTTGTACTGATTTGGTATGACACAGTTGTTTTTGTACTGATTATGGTATGGCACAGTTGTTTTTGTACTGATTTGGTATGGCACAGTTGTTTTTGTACTGATTATGGTATGGCACAGTTGTTTTTGTACTGATTTGGTATGACACAGTTGTTTTTGTACTGATTATGGTATGGCACAGTTGTTTTTGTACTGATTATGATATGACACAGTTGTTTTTGTACTGATTATGATATGACACAGTTGTTTTTGTACTGATTATCATATGACACAGTTGTTTTTGTACTGATTTGGTATGACACAGTTGTTTTTGTACTGATTATGATATGACACAGTTGTTTTTGTACTGATTATATGACACAGTTGTTTTTGTACTGATTTGGTATGACACAGTTGTTTTTGTACTGATTATGGTATGGCACAGTTGTTTTTGTACTGATTTGGTATGGCACAGTTGTTTTTGTACTGATTATGGTATGGCACAGTTGTTTTTGTACTGATTTGGTATGACACAGTTGTTTTTGTACTGATTATGGTATGGCACAGTTGTTTTTGTACTGATTATGATATGACACAGTTGTTTTTGTACTGATTATGATATGACACAGTTGTTTTTGTACTGATTATCATATGACACAGTTGTTTTTGTACTGATTTGGTATGACACAGTTGTTTTTGTACTGATTATATGACACAGTTGTTTTTGTACTGATTATATGACACAGTTGTTTTTGTACTTATTATGGTATGACACAGTTGTTTTTGTACTGATTGTGGTATGGCACAGTTGTTTTTGTACTGATTGGGGTATGGCACAGTTGTTTTTGTACTGATTGTTGTAATATGGTGCAGTTGTTATTCTCCTGATTGTGGTATGGCACATTTTTTTTGTACTGATTGTGGTATGGCACAGTTGTTTTTGTACTGATTGTGGTATGACACAGTTGTTATTGTACTGATTGTGGTGTGGCACAGTTTTTGTTCTGATTATGATATGGCACATTTTTTTTTTTTACTGATTATGGTATTGTGGAAAAGTAGTTTTATTTATTATCATATGATAATTTACTTTTGGTTGTATTTGCTTAAACTAGCATTTTATGCAGCGGAGAAGACCAGCAAAGAGTTTGATGGAAAGACCATCTTATCCAACAAGAGCTAAGCCGCACAACAGGACCCCTGACAGAGACAGTGTGTATGGGATGTCACCTTCTTCTGGTATTGGGACAGAAAATGAAAGGCATGTATCTGCTCCAATCAATATTTCCATCACAGGACCATTCAAAACAAATAATTTTCATTGCTCAATTGTTGCGCTTTAGTTTAGATGAATTCCCTGTGGAATATTTATGGAGTTTAAAACTGGATGCAGGAATTGTTACATGGAATCATACTATGTTGGTAATGACAAGCTTAATCTAGAGAAAATACACTCAGCTTTTATTGCCTGCCATATAGGAGTAAGGAATATATGTGAATATTGTTTGATCCTGTCATTGGGGAGTAAGGAATATATGTGAATATTGTTTGAGTTTTTGTATTACCTGTGAATTCACCAAGTCTGAAATCTATTGCCTTGACCACAGATTTAGTTAGCATTACTGTTTTACAGTTTTTCTCCTTTTTTTTTCAACGTTTGAAATCCAAAATTTAGGAAGGAATGGAAATGAGTTAATTTGTAATATTTTCCATTTCACAGCCCAGATATTGTTGTTACACCTGGTGCCATAAAAAAGGGAAAACGCAAACGTTTGAAAGCGAGAAATACTCGCATCCTGGACATGGACACCTCTGGGGATATTTCGTCTGGTCAAGATGGAACTCCAGGTGAAAATTTGAACTTGTTTCATAACTCTGTGTTTTTTGTTTGTTTTAGGATGCCTTCTGTGTTCTCAGAAGCTGAACCCCTTTCCATGTTAAACGGTAATTTATAAAGTCAGTCCTTTTCTATAACCTTGTGCTTGTAACTATTAAAGGTCTTCATTTCATTCTAGGAACATCACCACCTCTTAAAAGCTTTGAGGAGCAATTGAATGCCCGAAGAGAAGAGGCCAGAAAAACCCAGAAAGAAATTGAAGACCTGAGGCAGCATTATGGGCCCAATTGGCTGCAGGTAATTTTCAATGCGGGTTATGATAAATGCGGGTAATAATAAATGCGGTTTATCATGAATGCAGGTAATGATGAATGCAGGTAATGATGAAGTGCAAATTTAAAGAAATGATAAGTGATAAAAAATAAACAGACAACTACCATCAGAGCATTAAACTGTTTGTGTACAGGTCTAGTGATCTAATTACAGAATATTTGGTATTCTGTGTACAGGTTTATTGATCTAATTACAGAATATTTGGTATTCTGTGTACAGGTTTATTGATCTAATTACAGAATATTTGGTATTCTGAATATTTGGTATTCTGTGTACAGGTTTATTTATCTCATTACAGGATTTTGATATTCTGTGTACAGGTTTATATATCTCATTAAAGGATTTTGGTATTCTGTGTACAGGGTTTTAACTCCTGAGGTTGACATGATCACAAACGATTTTTAATTTTAACATAAATAGCTAGGTCACTTTGATGATTTTAAAAACAAGAATTATTATTTTCTTTTGCAATCCAGATTATCAGAATGGCATTACCTGTTTGTAGAATTTGTTCTCCCTACTTATTTGTGTAGATCTATTCATATGTAAGTTTGCTATTTTATTTTAATCAGGCCATTGAAGACAGAAATATTTTCAACACCAAGAGACCAGTTCCATTAGCATCAACAGCTCCGTTAGCTTCATCCTCTCCAAGCACTTCCAGTGATGCAGAGATAACCAGCTCAAAGAGAAGAACTTACGACAGAAGGTCTGTTTCTGAAGATGCTTTGAAGAACTCTGATGAAGGCAGCAGGCAACAGGCAGAGTCAGGCAGGGATGTAAGCCCTACTGATGATGAGCTATACCTCAGAGACGCCAACTTAAATGACTCCATCAACCCCATCATGGCTGCCATTGCCAGGATGGCAGCTGGTGAATCGGCCGATGAAAGCCTGAAATCCCTGGCTATAATTCCAACAGATATAACTCAGGAGCCTTGGCGGTCAGACGTGATAGCTGAACCAAAAGATGGAGATTCAAAAGTGAGTCTGGCTACTTCACATCCCATGCATGCCACTGGAAGGGAAAATAACACTCTAGTAGATAATAGAGAAGCAGGGTCACTTACAGATGGACATTTAAAGTCATCAGCTGAAGCAGATGTGAAATCCCCTCCAAGACTTGAGTCCCAGTTGTCCAGGAATCTAAAAAATCATGTGACCTCTGATAAAGCCAGCTCAAACAATCAGATTTTAAGTAAGAAAGTGGAAGCATCCCCTTTGAAAAGAACCAGCCGGGATTCATCGCTGTCATCTCTAGCTGATCCAAGCTTGACCAGGACAAATAAGAGCACTGACAGTTGCCTTCCTACCTGTGAGTGACACTTAAGTTTTTAACTGCTGTATTGGCACACAACATTAGCTAGTAATTTAATTAGTTATTCTTTTTCTATCTTTGAAAGTTCATTTAATTAAATAGTGATTCTCAAGGCACCCTATGTTATATTTCTAAGAAGGTCACTGCAAAATAATAAATAATTATTTATGATCTTAGAGTTAGCATTTTGGCACCAAGTGAAAAAAAACACCATTTAGAAATCAATCCACCTAAAAGTCTTTCTATGGCATCATAATGTCTAGCTATGCCACTAGGCATATTATATATCATTATTTAATGATGGAGTGGGGGGCTGCTCTGTATTCAGGCTTTTGCAGGTGCAGCTTTTCCAACACGCTGTCCTGTGCACAGCACACAGTGAGGACTCTCTTGGTCATTGCATTTTTCTATCTGTGTAAAATGAAAGTCCAAATAACTCATATTTTTTGTGTTGTTCGTCAGTCGGGATTCGACCATGATCACTTTAATCATCAGAGTTTGTGCTGGTTCTGTATGTGGGTGCGCAGATGGCTAATGAGGCCGATTCTGGCATGAATTCTCTTGTGCAGTAGGTGCAGGGGAATGATGGCGCATCTCCGGGAGCAGAGTCAGACCGGGCCTTCCTGGCATGTCTCTTGCGCTCTGCAACCGCTGTTCTGCTAACTTCATGTTGCATGGAGCTCCCGTGCAAAGTGGAACGCCACGAAGTTCAATCACTTGCCTGTTCCTCCCACATTTCTGGGTTTATGCTGAACGCTTTCAGTGAGGCTTTTATGTTGCCTTTAAAGCGTCTTTTCTGTCCGCCAGCAGACCACTTTCCTTGTTCAAGCTCATCATAGAAAATTCTTTTGGGAAGACGGTCCTCTGAGATTCTCACAACATGTCCCGCCCAACTAAGCTGGGACTTCATCAAGATTGTGAAGATGCTGGGGAGACCTGCCTGTGTGAGCACATCAGCGTCTGGGACCCTGTCCTGCCTGTGTGAGCACATCAGCGTCTGGGACCCTGTCCTGCCTGTGTGAGCACATCAGCGTCTGGGACCCTGTCCTGCCTGTGTGAGCACATCAGCGTCTGGGACCCTGTCCTGCCATTTAATGTTGAGGATTTTTATGAGTCTTTTTGTATAAAAGTGGTTCAGCATTCTTGCATGGCGTTGGTAGACCGTCCACGTTTCACAGGCATAGAGAAGTGTAGGGAGAACAGCCGCCTGATATACCTTCAGTTTAGTTTGAGTGTTGATACCTCTCCTGGTCCATACGTTCTTAGTCAATCTTCCATAGGTTGCACTGGCTCTTGCAATATGGAGGTTAACCTCGTCATCGATGGTTGTGCCTTGGGACATTGTGCTGCCGAGATAGGAAAAGCCTTTCACCACCTTAAGTCTTTCGCCATATACTTGGATGTTGGGCTCAACATAAGGGCTTCGGGGAGCTGGTTGGTATATGACCTCAGTTTTTTGTGTGTTAATGGTGAGCCCGAAGTTTGTGCAGGCATTAGAAAAGCTTGTGACGCAGGGTTGCATATTCACTTCTGATACAGCGTTTAGGGCACAGTCGTCTGCATACAGGAGGTCCCTCATGGTGTCTGTCAGGACCTTCATTTTGGCATGTAGCCTCATGGGGTTGAATAGATTACCGTCAGTTTGGTATCTGAGGCCAATGCCGGCATCTCCCTATCTGAATGCACCGGTCAGCATTGTGGAAAACATGAGGCTGAAAATTTTGGTGCAAGCACACATCCTTGTTTCACGCCGTTTGTTACAGGGAATAGTTTTGACGTCTCTCCATTATCCCGAACTCTAGCCTGCATACCTTCATGGAATAGTCGTACCATTGACTCGAACTCTAGCCTGCATACCTTCATGGAATAGTTGTACCATTGACCCGAACTCTAGCCTGCATACCTTCATGGAATAGTCGTACCATTAACCCGAACTCTACCCTGCATACCTTCATGGAATAGTCGTACCATTGACACGAACTTTCTGGGGCATCTGGATCAAGATGGTATTGGGTGAGGGAGTGAGGCTGACGCCTTGCGCAACTCTTCCTCAATTAAATCCATGTCACAGCACACGTCACTTAATCATCACTCATTTTATCGAAGTTCTTATCAAAAAGTCCTGTGGCGATGGGCAAGCGGTGAAACGGCAGGTGTGGGTACATTGTCAGCCGTAGTCGCAAATCTGCACATAGGCGGCTCATGCCATAGGGTCGTTCATCACTGAAAAGGAGCAGCAGTGGTGTCCGGCAGCCCCCAGAGCGACTAAGCAGCCTTCTTTAGGAACACACTGCTCACCTCCGTGGCATTAGGAAGGGGCTAGAAAAGGTGCTTTAAACATTGTCTGCTCCACTCTTCCCTATCCAGCCTACGGCAGTTTTTTTTTTACATACACTTTGTCACTCTATTAGACATTGTGCCCTCTTTAATTTCGCACTGTCTAGTATAAATGATGGTGTGCCCTCTTTATTTCCACTGTCTAGTATTAATGATGGTGTTTTCTCTTTATTTCCACTGTCTAGTATTAATGATGGTGTTCCTTCTTTATTTCCACTGTCTAGTATTAATGATGGTGTTTCCTCTTTATTTCCACTGTCTAGTATTAATGATGGTGTTCCCTCTTTATTTCCACTGTCTAGTATTAATGAAGGTGTTTCCTCTTTATCTCCACTCTAGAATAAATTATAGTGTCCCCTCTTTATTTCCACTCTGTCTAATATAAATGATGGCGTTCCTTTTTTTTTTTCACTCTGTCTAGTATAAATGATGGTGTGCCCTCTTTATTTCCACTGTCTAGTATTAATGATGGTGTTACCTCTTTATTTCCACTGTCTAGTATTAATGATGGTGTTACCTCTTTATTTTCACTGTCTAGTGTAAATGATTGTGTTCCCTCTTTATTTCCACTCTATTTAGTATAAATGATGGTGTGCCCTCTTTAAATTCCCTCTATCTAGTTTAAATGATGGTGTTCCCTCTTTATTTTCCCTCTATCTTGTTTAAATGATGGTGTGCCCTCTTTATTTTCCCTCTATCTAGTATAAATGATGGTTTGCCCTCTTTATTTTCACTCTGACTATTTTAAATTAATAATTTTGTAAAATACTAAGTATAAGAAATATTTTTAAAAGTTGACTCATTTACAACAATATTTGGTTGATACAAATTTCAAAACTAAGTGTCCTCTAAGAACACGAGCAACTGACAGCAATTTATATATGAACACAAAGAAAAGTACAATAACTTTACTATGTGGAATACAATTTAAAAATATTTTATAGAG